TATCCTGGCCTGTTCTCCACGAGTGATGCCATCTCAGCCACTTGTCCGAAGAACGATTCTGTACAGCCAGGACAGGAACCGGCACCCACACTGCTGCCGACACGGCATGTCCGATCCTTACCGCCCACATCTTCAGCTTTCTTCTCTTTGTTGTCCTTTGTTTCTGCTCGCTCCTGCCGACAGCTCAGTTCCAACAGCCCTTCAGTCCTAGCCTCCGCACCCACTGACCTTCACCTCACTCCCACCACTGCAGCCCTCCTCAACTGGTCTGAATGTGGTAATGATGTACCCCCATCTTGAACACACCTTCCGTGCACTTGGCCTTTTCCACGTCACAGTGTCTGCATGACAAAATCCACATCCGGTTAAATCCAGTTCTTGGCTGGTATTCATCTAACTGAATGGGGGGGTGGGGATAGTGATAATAATTGTTTTCAGTCTGTGCATAATCGCTTTAAGTTCCTAAACGACAGATTCTCTAAGGTGGAAGGGTACATGCAAGTGGGTTTTCAAGGGAATTCTTGGAGAAACCGGTGAGGAACCGGGGGAAGCAGGCCAGGGAAGGAGAGAGCTGCGCAAGGATACAAAGTCAGCTGCCTTCTTCAGGTTCCTTCAGGTTGTCCTCAAACTGCGAGTGTGGAAGGCAGTGCGGGGTGAATGCTGTAGGGTCTGTTTCACTTCCCTGAATGGGGGCATGGTGAAGAGTTCCTGCTTCCAAATCAGCATTGCTTAGCAAGCATCTCAGGTTCTAGAACGTTCCGGACAGGAGTGGTTCCAGCAGCTTAGGTGCCGTTCCCCAAACAATAGGTACCAGTGATTGGAGGGGTCCATGTACTGTGGGCCTTCCATGCGGCTGGCGGGGGTCCATGCACTGTGCCCCTTCCATGCGGCCACATCTGGCAACCACTTTGCTCAGACGATGCAGCCTCCGGGCTCCTAGGTGACTACTTCATAATTTCCCTTCTCTCCTCTAAGACCTCCTGCACTTCGCTCTCAGCTAATTCCCCAGCCTCCGATTTCATCAGGAAAACAGAAATGGTCAAACGAGTGTCTCCACCAGCTGACCTTACTGCCATCGAGTGTCTCCACCAGCTGACCCAGCCATCCCCACCCCTGTCACCTGGCCTCCCGCCCGCCCCCCCCCCCCGCCATCCCCACCCCTGTCCTCTGGCCTCCCGCGGAGGTCTCCTGAGCAATGTGAACGGTGCCTTCTGACTACAGCTCCTGGCCTCTGGTTAGAGTCCAGCCTCTTACCTGCCCCAGGACCTTGTTGCAGCCCTGCCTCTGCTACAAAAGTCGTCTAGATGACTGACAGTAGCACACAGACAGGCTGTTAGTTTTGTAAAGCCTTCTGTTGACCTCATTCCTCTTGCCACATAAAACCTTTGTATCATCTTTAATAGAAAAGCCAGGAGTCAGGAACTTTCTCAGGTCTCCCACGCAGGTGCAGGGTTCCAAGGCTCGGGGGCCGTTCTCCGTTGCTTTCCCAGGCCACAAGCAGGGAACTGGATGTGAAGTGGAGCTGCTGGGACATGAACTGGCAACCATGTGGGACGGCAGCCCTTGAAAGAGCAAGATTAGCCAGTTGAGTTACAGTGCCAGTCCCAGGTTATTGTAATTCTTTATCACCCGGACAGTAATATTCCATGTGTCATATTTACTGGAATAGTTTTGCCTTTTCACGTGAAGATTCTCTCGATGAGAATTTACTCACCATTTCCTTGGTGATTTTTTTCCTTTGTCTTTTTAAAGAATGTTTGTTTTAATTCGTACCAGAAGGAAAACACCTTCCCTATCTTCCCAACACTTCTAATTCTGCTGCTAAGGTTCGAGACTGCGGGACTGTGTGGAACCATCAGCTTCCCCCGCCTTCCTTGGGCAGCGCTTCTCGTCCTGGCTCTCAGCGCCAGGGCTGTCACCCATCCAAGCTCTCCAGAACGAGGCTCTCACTGGGAGCAAGTCACTGGCCTGACTGTTCACTTTGTGCTGAAATCCTGCTGTGCAGGTGACGAACTGCCAAGTCCTTGTGTGTCAGGCATGTTTCTGTTAGTCCTTAGCTCTTGTACACAACAGTTAGAGCAAAATCTTCAATTTAGAGAGAAAAAAAGTTATTTTAATTCCCATTGCATTGAATATGCAGGTCCATTAGAAGAAAACAAAAGCCCACTGTTGACTTTTCCTCGTCATGAACATGACACTTGTCTATCTGAACTTCCTTTTACTTTTCCTCGTCATGACACTTGTCTATCTGAACTTCCTTTTACGATTCCAATAAAGTTCCATTTTCAAAATTACTACAAAACGTTTGCATAGTTTTATTAGATTAATTTTATTAGATTAGATAATTTATATCTGACATTCTTATCGATTGCATGGGTCGTTTTCTAAGAAATAGGATTTATTGATTCACGTATGTATTTGAAAGGCAGATTGATAGATTTTTCTTTGTTTTAATTTATTTTTTTTAAGATTTATTTTTATTATTTTTTTTTATTGGAAAGGTGGATATACAGAGAGGAGAGACAGAGAGGAAGATCTTCCATCCGATGATTCACTCCCCAAGTGAGCGCAACGGCCGATGCTATGCCAATCCGAAGCCAGGAGCCTCTTCCGGGTCTCCCACGCAGGTGCAGGGTCCCAAAGCTTTGGGCCGTCCTCCACTGCCTTCCCGGGCCACAGGCAGGGAGCTGGATGGGAAGCGGGGCTGCTGGGATTAGAACCGGCACCCATATGGGATCCCGGGCTTGCAAGGTGAGGACCTTAACCACTGTGCCACCGCGCCGGGCCCTGTTTTAATTTATTTTTATCCTTGATGATGTTCACATAGTTGATCAGGGCAGAAAGGATCAAAGCTTAGGGGAAAGTGTGTGAGATGGTTGTTTCCAAAATTTCTTTTTCTTCCTGCTCTATCCAGGGGAGGGGGAGACAAGGGCAGAACCCACTCAGCGTCCCAACCGCCGACGGAGAAATCTTTCATTTGCTAGTCCTTGCCTTAGTATTTGCACCAAGCCATACCTGGGCCAGATGAAACCCAGGAGTGAACCGCATCTGGGCCTTCCATGCGGCTGGCAGGGTCCATGCACTGTGCCCCTTCCATGCGGCTGGCAAGGTCCATGCACTGTTATTCTGGTAAGTCTTTGGAATTGATGTTCCAAGCATGTTGCTTTTGCCATGATGGGTGCTAGGGTTCTTGTGGCCTACGGTGCTGTCAATTTTCAGAGTTCTTTTATTTGTCTTAGAAATGAAGGTATTTTCTCTGTGGGATCCGCAGGGCTACACATATACATGCAATGAAGCTTACATTAATGTTTCAGAAAGAAGCTACAAGGAATTTCATTTATTGAGCGTGAGTGTAGCTTATTTAACACGTGACTTGGTTCGGAACGAACAGCCTTTCACTTGGATGACTCTCCAGTAACCCCAGAAGATATTATTGCAAAGCAGAGCCTCAATTTCCCAAGATAGCGAGTTCAAATTCCATAGGACAGTTGGAATCTGAACTTCGATCGGTTTGGCTGTTGACAGAACAAGCCTTTCTGGACTCCACTTTTTTCCCCCCTCATTCTCTTTCTTAGGATATTGGGCTTCTTAAATTCTACAGCCCAGAACACCTTGCTAGCCATCTCTTTTCACCACGAGCTTCGCTGAAAGCAAGCCCCAAAACACAAAGGCCCATGATAACTACTCCACTGTGTTTCCGCAGAGTGCAAGACCTTTCACCCACATGGGTCAAGGCCAAGCAGATCTTACAAACGCGCAACCTGTTACCTTGTTCCGTGAGTTTCTAGAACATAATCACCCATCCCTCCAGCGCACACAATGATTCCCGTTTTCTGCGAGTTGGGACTCCAAAGTCCTAGGTTTTTGTTTGTTTTGTACAATTTCTAGAGTTAAGTTTTAGAATGCCATCACTCATCCTAAAACATGAGACGGAAGCCAGAGACTGGCTCAACCAGTTCCATTCCTTCAAAGCCGCTCACATTTGAAAGTCACAGAGCTAGAATCTGAAAGCCTCAGGGACCAAGAACTCAGCCAAGTACTACTATCACAGCTTCTCAGAAAAAAAGTTGTAGCGGTTGCAGCACCGTGCCCACGCAGCTGCCACCCTCCTCGTCCTCGCGCACCCACGGGGCCCGGGGACGCCCTGCCCACCCAGTCCCGTCCCGAGGGGAAGCGAGCACGGAGCACAGCCGCCTTCTGCTGCAGGCGCCGGATACCTGTACTGCACGATGGTCAGCGAGGCACCGGGTTCGGCCCCAAAGCCGGGCAGGTGTCGGTGCAGGTAGGTCTCCAAGGACGCGACGTCGAACCTGTGCTGAGGCAGCACCTCGACAGTGTCGGGCTCCATGGTGGCTCTGCCCTCCATGGCTGCGATCCTTGTCACAGCAGACACTCGCCAGCACGCAGCTTCTTAAGTCCCTTCTGTGGACCGAGCCACCCCCTGTGGGCGGGGCGGGAGTTCCGGTGGGCGGAGTGACCATGTGGGCGGGGCGGGAGTTCCTATGGACTGAGCGACCCTGTAGGCGGGCACACCATCTCTGTGGGCGGAGCTACCATGTGGGCGGGGCGGTATTCCCGGTCCGCGCAGATGGGCGGGGCCCTGTTTCAGCCTATCACTTCGGAGGGCTGACTCTGTTGCTAGGCAACACAGACCCGCCGGATGTTCGGACCCGGGGTTCTGATCTGGAAGTGTGGGCGGCGCCCCGGGTGTATTCGAATTAAACTGCTCAAAATGAGTCGGACACTCTGATGTTAAAGGAAACTAGCGCTCCATCAGTGACAGTGCAGAGGCCGCGCCGCTGCAGCCTTTAGAGCACCGGCAGCCGGAAGACCCTCGGAGTCCGTCTCAGAAAAGAGCCCGGCAGGGCCTCGAGCCCAGGAAATAACAGGTCCTGGCGTCTTCCCCGGCCGGTCGGAGCCCCGTCGCCGCCCGCTGGCCCCGCGGAGCCGGCCAGGCGGGAAGCCGAGCCCGAGGCCCGAGGCCCGAGGCCCGCACCGCCCCGGAAGCTCGCAGACGTGGCGGTTCGTGAGGCGCCGGGCGCTTCCGCAGGCCCTGGCGAGCTGGACGGCGGCCGTGGGTGGGCAGGTGCGAGAGGCGCTCAGCCATGGCCGAGTCGGTGGAGCTGCTGCGGCAGCGGGTGCAGGAGCTGGAGCGGGAGCTGGCCCAGGAGAGGAGCCGGGGCGTGCAGGGCGGCGGCCGCGCCCGCATCGACAAGATGAGCCCGGAGGTGGTGGACTCCAACCCTTACAGGTGGGCGGAGGGCCGAGGGCCCCAGTCCCCGCGTGGGCCCGGGTGGGCGCTTCTCTTGGCACGGGGTTCCCGTCCTCGACCGGCACGTGCTTGGTCCAGCCCCAGGGGGCTGCCCTCCTGCCTGCGGAGGGCGTGGGCTGCTTTCCCCGTAGCTCCTGGCCCCTCTTCGTTTGCCTCCTTCCACGGGAGACGGACATAAGAACCTGGAAATGACATCATCCGCTGGCCAACCCGCCCGGTATAGCTCGGGGTTTCATCAGGGTTTTCTTAACGCAGAGCCGGGTCAGCCGTATTTCCAGATGTCGGGGTGCTCCTGGGCATCCCAGACGGTTGGGCAGCTGTCCTGTCTTCTATCCTGAGAAGTCTTGTCAGTGGAGCAGGTGGACTTAGTGCGGTTGTAAGAGTGAGGACTTCAAGGACGGATTGCTTGGGTTTATGGTGGCAGCTGGGTCGGTTGAAGCCATGCTTAGCCTCCTGCATTCCAGCTGCTGTCGTACCTTAAGAGCTGTGAGGCTGGAAAGAGCAGGGCCAGGTTGTTGGAGTAGCGTTTGTGCAGCAGCAGCCTTGATAGGCCCGAGTGCTCAGCGGCAAGTGGGGAATCGAGCTTTCACTGCGTGCTAAGCCCTTATCCTGCCTTGTGTTCTCAGCGCCGCCCGGAGTGCTGCGAAGCCTCACCCTCCTTCACATCTTATGTGAAAGGCAGGGAGACACAGCGACAGGCTGAGACCCACCTTCCCGTCTGCTGGTTCATTCCCCACCTGTAGTAGGCAGGCTAGACCAGGTCTACGTGTGCAGCCCGGGACGCAGGGACTCGCGGACTTGAACCATTCCTGGCTGCCTGCCTCGATGCACGTTAGCAGAGCTGGTACCCAGGCCTGGGGACATCGTCTCCTCTTAATTGCCCCAGAGGCCCGAGGCTACTTACCCCATCGTAGAAGGGAGAGCTGTCTGGGATGGTGGATCTGGAAGTAAGCTGTAAGCCACTGGGTAGTGTGGCTCAAAACTGGGTTGTCATAATGTAAGCAGAGGCTGTTCTTTTTTTAAAATATGTATTTATTTATTTATATTGGAAAGGCAGAGTTAGAGAGAGAAGGAGAGTTAGACAGAAGGGTTCTCCATCTGCAGGTCCACTCTCCGAATGGCCACAGCAGCTGAAGGTAAGCCAATCCGAAGCCAGGAGCCTAGAGCCTCTTCTGGGCCTTCCGCACGGGTGCAGGTCCCAAGGCTATCCTTGGCTGCTTCCCCAGGCCACAAGCAGCAGCTGGATTGAAGTGAAGCAGTAGGAATACAAACTGGTATCCAAATGGGATGACAATATTGTAGGCAGCCGCATAAGGCTCTATGCCAATGCTGACCTCTTGGTAAAGCTTCCTGATAACTTTGAAGTGTGAACAAATGGTTGTATTTATATAGAGATTTTAAAATGTGTGTATGTGTATATAAAGTTTAAAATTTATGAGGCTAATACAGTAGTAAAACCAAAAGTAACTGTAACCTTGACTTAGAATAAGTGCTTATTCGAAGTAGACAATGTTGGGCGTGGCATGGTGGCTCAATGGCTAAATCCTCAAAAGTGCCAGGATCCCATATGCGTGCCAGTTTGTGTCTGTCACAGCTACTGCGCTTCCCATCCAGCTCGCTCTTTGTGGCCTGAGGAAACAGTCAAGGATGGTCCAAAGCCTTGGGACCCTGAACCCATGTGGAAGCTCCTGGCTCCTGGCTTCAGATTGGCTCAGCTCCAGCCATTGCAGCCACGTGGGGAGTAAACCAGTGGATGGAGGATCTTTCCCTCTGTCTCTCCTTCGCTCTATAAAATCTGATCTTTCAAATAAAAATAGGTAACCCTTAAAAAAATACAGTATCCATTGTTGTCAGAGGCAACAAGTGTTCCAGCCATGAGCTTGCTGAGGTTTGAATGCTAAACATTAACTATTTACACAAGCTAACAAAGCTTGGAAAATGTCAAAATTTTGCTTTGACCCTTAACATTTAAGTCAGGAAGTCCCAGTCTTGGCTGTGCCTTAGGACTGACACTGTGGTGTAGCAGGGTAAGCCACAGTTTGCAGTCTAGCATGTCCTGTGGGTGTAGGTCTGAGACCTGACACTTCACACACATGGGAGACATGCGAGCAGCTCTGGGCTCCTGGCTTCGGCCTGGCACAGCTCCAGCAGTTGTGCCCGTTTAGGGAATGAGCCAGTGGATAGCTCTGCCCCCTCTCGCTCTGTAGCTCTGCCTTTCAAATGATAAAGACAAATCTTAAAGAGCTTAAAAAAAGCCACGTGTCCCAGGCTACCCCACGCGTGCGTGTCCGTACCTTCAGACCTGCCCAGGTGATGTGTTTGATCTGAAGTTCTGGAAGGTTCCTGTCCCTGGACAGTGCTGTAAGGCTTCCGTCTGTGGCTGTCTCTGCTCCTACCTGACTGTTGGCTTTAGAATGCTTCTTTCCCTCTGTTTTCAGCCGCCTGATGGCATTGAAACGGATGGGAATCGTCAGCGACTATGAGGTATGATGAATCTTTCCAAGTTTTTAATAAAGATTTCTGTAATAAGTAATGTCTGGAGATCTGTTTGATAAAAAGTAATGAACAAACATGTACACAATTGTGTCGCTTCTCAGAAAATCCGGACATTTGCAGTGGCAGTCGTAGGTGTTGGCGGAGTTGGCAGTGTGACCGCGGAGATGCTCACGCGATGTGGCATTGGCAAGGTAAGTCGTGTTTCTTTGGCCGGTCAGTCTGGAGTTGGATTGTGGATAGCAGGAAGTGGCTTTCTCGTACCGGAACATCATGCAGTAATCTTCAGTTTGTAAAGTCGAGGTCTCAGGGTAGAGACGCTGCAGCTGCGGCTGTCCCTGCCTGCACGCCCTGCACTTGGTCGTCTTGCTGGAGCCAGCATTCTCCCATGGACTTGCAGTATGTTGCTTCACTCCAGGTTCTTAAAGGGATTTCAAACCTGGCAGTCAGCTTTCTCCATAAAAAAGAAAACATCAAAATACAAAAACGTGTATTAAAGTTATAACACCTTTTGAGAGGTGTGAGAAAGCAGGCCAGGGCTGTGTACAGATGGCTTCATGTGCCTTGGCCTACCCCACAAGGGATGTTGGAGCCACTGCCGACCAGGGACTCCCAGGGTGCCGTTCAGCCTCACTGGTAAGCATTGCCAGAGCCTGCCCTCGTTGCTGGCTGCCATGGTGTCCTCTCTGCCAAGTTCCCGGATGAGCCCGAGATGAGAACCCTCGGAGTGTTGCTCATCCTCGTCCGGTGCCTGGAGTGGCAGCGTCGGTGGCATCTGGGAGCTACACCCTGGAAGTGCCGAGTCTGAATGTGTGTCTTAACAAGATACCCAGGCAGGTCAGGGGCTCTTGCAGCTCGACAGACTCCCGGTGCTGCCAATGCTGCCAGAGCAGGCCGCGCTTTAATCAAGAAAGGCCTAGAACAGCAGTCAGCAAATGCTGCCATCAGCACACGGATCTGGGAGGTGTCGGGGTTGTCGGCCTCATGCGTGTGAAGTCCACCCGGGTGTTTGTACTGTGCTGCTGGTTTTCAATGAAATAATATTCTATTTTCATTTTAGTTGTTACTCTTTGACTACGACAAGGTGGAACTGGCCAACATGAACAGACTTTTCTTCCAGCCTCATCAAGCAGGATTAAGTAAAGTCCAAGCAGCGGAACATACTTTGAGGTAAGCGGAATAACACGGTCCATCTTCACCAGCTTCGTAGTCTGTGGATCTGCTACATGAACTCACCTAATACAAAAGTGGCCTACATTTTCTTCTGTAAAAATTGGGATACCACTTATACAGAGAATTCTTGCACTTATACTTACATTGACAAATGTTTTATTATTTTTTTTAAAAAGTATTTATTTGAAGGAATTAGATAGGAGTTGAGGCTTTCATCTGCTGGTTCACTCTCAAGGGCTGGGCCAGGCTGAAGCCAGGAGCCTTCTGCAGCGTGTCCACATCTCTCACATGGGTGAGGAACATTTACTACACATGAAATGTTCAAGGTACCGATCAACGTACGGCCAAGTAGCATTGATGTTACATTCATAATACCTCACACTCCCCATAGGGGCTTTAAGTGTCAGTGCTGTTCCAGCGCCCAAGGACTGGGCGTCGTCCATTGCTTTCCTGATGCGTTAGCGAGGGGCTGGTCAGAAGTGGAGCAGCTGGAACTTGAGCTGTTGCCCATATGGGGTGCTGGTTCTGCAGAAGTGGGAGCTTTTAAGAAGATTCCTATGGGATTCTGTTCATTTTGGACCCTAGTCCTGAAGGAGAGAAGGCAGGCAGGAAAAGACTTGGGCTTTCCCTTGAGCAACCTGGATTTCACTTTTTTGATGTATATTCATTGTTCTCTAGCTCTTTAACCCTTCTTTCTTTCTGCTTTTACTTATTCAGTTACTAGCAGTCTTTAATCATTCCCCCTTTCCGTCTTAGGAACATTAACCCTGATGTTCTGTTTGAAGTACACAACTACAATATCACCACAGTGGACAACTTCCAACATTTCATGGATAGAATAAGGTAAAAGTTTTTGCTTATAGCTGTCTTGTACAATATCCAGGTCAGGTAAGCAAGTATAACTATAAAATCTGTTATTTGAAAATGTTAATTCAGTGTATTGCCAGGTTAAATTATTTTTTTTTAATACTACTCTTCATGTAATTTTTATGATTTGAATCTGAACACAAGGTGTTGTCGTCCAGGGGGGGCAGTTGGCCGAGTGGTTAAGATGCTGGACACCTGCCTGTCCCATCACAGTGCTGGGGTTCAGTCTCTGCCTCCCCTGCTGCGCTCTGCCCGCCTGCCGGTGCAGCCCTGGGAGCGGTGATGGCTCCAGCCCCGAGCGAGCCCGGGGTGTGTTCTCTGCTGCTGGCTTTGGGTCCCTGGTCACCGTGCGCCTCTGGAGGGTGAACCCGCGGATGGGACCTCTGTCTGCCTTTCTCTGCCACTCCATCACCACGAAAGCACAGTTAGTGCAAGGGGAGAGACCCCTGAAAACAGCAGTAATGTAACAAGGGAGCCTCAAGTTCAAGTTGTGTGTTCTAGACTACCTCTGTCTGAGCCAGCTGCACTTCCCTCACCCTGTACTGCCAGTCAAGGCACTGCCAAGTAGCATTGAATTACATTCATAATAGCCATTCACATTCCCCAGGTCTTTAAGTGTTAATACTATTATAAGTAAAACATTTAATGAAAGAATATGTGATAAACAGATAGACTAATTAGCATATGTCTTGTGTATTTACTTTTTTCAAAATATATTTACTTTCTTTGACCAGTAATGGTGGATTAGAAGAAGGAAAACCTGTTGATCTAGTTCTTAGCTGTGTGGACAATTTTGAAGCTCGAATGGCAATAAATACAGTGAGTATTCCTGGTGTGTAAGATGTTGTTCTCATGCATTTACCCACTGTATTCCTGTTGGTGTAGGCTCTCCATCCTAAAAATAGTTCTGAATTTCAACTTTTGTTTTTAAAGAGATTTATTTATTTTAAAAGCACAGCTACAGAGAAAGAGGGAGAAAAACAGAGGACGTGCTAACATCCACTGGTTCACTGTCTGAATGTTCCCAGCAGTCCGGCTGGGCCAGATCAAAGCTTGAGGCTCCTGCCGGGTCTCCCATGCGGGGGCAGGGCCAGCACCTGAGCCATCCCCAGCGGCTTTCCTAGTGCCTCCGCAGGGAGCTGGGTCCCAAGTGCAGCACCCACCTGGATTGCAGAGATTGTAGGTGGCAGCTTTGCCTGCTCTGTGGCAGTGCCAGCCCCTGAATGTACATTTTTACGTATTTTTTAAAATGTTCTCTTAGCCTACATTTAGAATTTATTCTAGGGGGCCAGTGTTGTGGCATAGCAGGTAAAGCCTGTGACACTAGCACCCCAGAGGAACATAGGTGTGTCCCGTTGCTCCCCGCTAATGGCCTGGGAAAAAAGCCCAAGATGGCCAAAGTCCTGGGCCCTTGTTGCCCACACAGGAGACTAGAGACTCCTGGCTCTTGGCTACTGCAAGGGCCCAGCCTTGGCCATCACAGCTGGCTGGGGAGTGAACCAGCAGGTGGAAGATCTGTCTCTCCCTGTTCTTTGTAACTCTTTCAGACTCTGTAAGTGCATCTTTTTGAAAAAGAACATTCTAGCAGATGTGGCCCACAGCCTTGTGCTGCGACCTGTTAGAAAACCTCTTAACACCCACAAGGGAAGCCAGACCACAGCAGATACTTGGCATGTCTATTTTTCAAGTAAATTAATATTTTTCTACCACTTGTTGTGGGTCAGCATTGGTTTTAACTTTTGATGCTTTATTTTTGAAAGATCTAAAATACATAAATTGCCTAAAAAATATTTCGGAAAAATTTTTTCTTACGAGTTAAACTTTCTTAGCATATTTTTGTCACCGAAAAAAGTTTTTAAATGAATTTTTTCATTTGATAAGAAATCCAACAAAGTGTAGCTCAGTTTAATAATAAAGTGATTTTTGAATAATGTCGATTTACTCTGAGGAGGAGGAGCGAGCCTCCATCACTGGTTCACTCCGCAGATGGCTACAATGGCCAGGCCAAAGCCAGAGGCAGACTTCATCCTGGCCTGCCACGTGGGCGGCAGGCCCAGGGCTTGGGCCACGCTCCGCAGCTCTCCCAGGCGCAGCAGCCGAGAGCTGGATGAGAAGTGGAGTTCCTGGGAAGTGCTGCAGGTGTGGCCAGAGCTACTGCGCCACAACACCAGGCCTAATTATTCTTTGAATAGTGTCATCGGCAAGGAATTTCCTAGTTGCAGCCTTCCTATTTTATTTCAGAAATTGACCTTGGCGATCTATTATTAAAGCCCTCTTTATTAAAAGATTTTAGAGTAAATCATTTTGCCCTTTTTATTTCTAAGGCTTGCAATGAACTTGGACAAACGTGGATGGAGTCCGGGGTCAGTGAGAACGCCGTTTCGGGGCACATCCAGCTCATCATTCCGGGAGAGTCGGCTTGCTTTGCGGTATGCGGCATTTGGGGTAACTTTCCTCTTAGGTCATGGAGTTCCAGGAACACTGGACATGTTTTACAGTTCAAGGGAAAAGCAAACTTGAATGTGAGGAATACTGTTTGGAACATCTCATGCTTTTTCCCTGTGTAATTTTGACTTTTTTTTTTTTGCATGCAGTGTGCCCCACCTCTCGTAGTGGCAGCCAACATCGACGAGAAGACTCTGAAACGAGAAGGTGTCTGTGCAGCCAGTCTCCCCACCACGATGGGAGTAGTGGCTGGCATCTTGGTACAAAATGTGTTAAAGTGAGTGAGGGCTGTTTCTGAACAGTCTTGGATGCTTTTAAAAACTTTTTATGAAATACTTTAAAAAATTGACATTACTTTTTAAAAATAGTTTTAAAAATATTTTACATGTTTTATATATGTTATGTATGTATGTTTTTTTTTATATTGTATGCTTTTATGTACATTTTAGAAAATTCCTGGAAGATGTGAAATCCATGTCTACATGGATTTCAAAATGTTTTTTATCAAGTTATCTTTAAAAGTTTAAGATTAAAAAAAATTTATTTGAAAGGTGGAGAGATAGGAAGATGTAGACAGAAAGCTCCCATCTTGTGCTTCATTTCGCCAAATGCCTACAATGGCCAGAGCAGGGCCAGGCCAGAGCCCAGAGCCAGAGCCCGAAGCCCGAAGGAAGGCCAGAACAGGGCCAGGCCAGAGCCCAGAGCCCAGAGCCCGAAGCCCGAAGGAAGGCCAGAGCCCGGAGCCCAGAGTCCAGAGCCCAAAGCCCGGAGGAAGACCAGAGCCAGGCCAGGCACCTGGAGGAAGGCCGAAGCCCAAAGCCCAGAGCCAGGCCAGAGCCCGGAGCTGGGAATTCAGCTGTCTCCTTTGCAAGACAGCAGCCGCTTGGTCCACCCCAGCTGCTGGCTAGGGTGCATGTCAGCAGGAAGCTGGAGGCTAGACACTGCGACAGGGCAGGCTTCTAAGTGGCGCCTTCAGCGCTGGGTCACATGCCTGCCTCTAAGTTGAGCTCTTCATTTCAGTGTCATGAACTTCTCGAAGTACTTTTGCATATGTGTACTTTAATTTAGTTAATTTAAATGTTTTCATATTAACACACATGTGACTTTACCTGTGAAGTATCAGCTACTCTGCAGGTGAAAGCCCTTTTGTTAAGCAGCGTGGTGCTGCTGCTGTGTTTACAGTGTTACCGCAGTGTGTGTCCAGTGAAGCAAATCCCTGCAGAGTTGATTCCAGTGGAGACCCAGGCATGAAGACACCTGTTCCCACCATTTGGATTCAACTGTAATTTAGTGTGATTAAACGTTAACCAGGGTGAACTCTGCTACCCCAAAGTGACTGTGCAGCAGTTTCAGTTTATCACAGCTAGAAAGAAGGGGGAAAGTGTTCTGTGCTGGTAGAATTTATGTGAAATTTGTCAAACCAACCACTCCTTATAGATGTGGAGCTGCCGGAGGTGTTCCCTTACTCAGGCCAGTTTTTCTTCTCACTTTACAACTTCTGTAAGCTCAGTTATATTCACTAAGGTTCCAGTTTATAGCAAGCATGAACTGCACAATGTCAGGAGGCACCCAGAGGCAGTGGAACGGCAGCTGCTGGCACAGCTGTTCTGGAAGCTTCCCTAAGTGGTCTCACGAACAGGCCAGGGCTGAGGAGCGACTAGCCCCAGCAAAATAGCCCCTAGGCTCTGGCTAAACAACTGGCAGTACTGGCAGCACAGTGCAAAAGCAGCAAAGTGGAGCCAGCCCCCAGTGCCTGGGACTGTCGGCTGCTGCAGAAGGCGTCCCCGATGTGGCCAAGTACCCCGGGTTACTGTGTGGGATGTTTTTGTTAGTGGAGTTTGGGTTTATGCAGTGTTTATTTCGATGTTACTAAATCTGCGTCCCTGAAGGACTGAGAACTTGCCTGGCCGTGTAGGAGCTCCTGGTTCACTCATTCCCTGATGACGCTGGCTGTCACCTGATTCTTTATTTTTTCAGTCTTACACTTATTTGTAAGAGGAATGAGCACTAGTATTTCTCTGAATTGCCTGCGACTATCTTTCCTTGTTCTATATTAAAGAACATGCAGGCATCTTTGAACAATTTCATGACTTCCATTTGCACGGTTTTATTGACTGTGTTCTACCTGGTCTCTCGAGGTTCCTGTTAAATTTCGGTAAAGTTAGCTTCTACCTGGGCTACAATGCCATGCAGGACTTCTTCCCGACCATGTCCATGAAGCCGAACCCCCAGTGCGATGACAGACACTGCCGGAAGCAGCAGGAGGAGTACAAGGTATGGCTCGTTCTGTTGGTGCTGAAGGGGTCAGCTTCACTGGACAGGAATTCCAGAGGTCAGGAACAGCTCTGCAGTACAAAATACACGGATCTAGATTTTAATGGCTTTAACTCATTCATCACACTTGAAAATCAGAGTCCTTTCTGGCTTTTGGTAAGATAAACACGTCTGCATCTTTGAGGAATGCTTCCGGTAAGCGAGGAGGAGCAAATTGCTAAGCGGCTGTTTGGTTTCTACAGAGAAAGGAAGCAGCCCTACCCAGACAGGAAGTGGCTCCGGAGGAGGAAGAGATCATCCATGAAGATAATGAATGGGGTAGGAATTGTGTAAACTCAGTATTTTTGTGACAGGATGGGAGGGTGCACATTTGAGTCCTTACTGCTTGGTGAATTCCTTAAAGTGGATCCGTAATTACAGCAGGACCAACTTGGGCTTTGCAGGGATCGAGCTGGTGTCAGAGGTTTCCGAAGAAGAACTGAGGGATTCTTCAGGCCCCGTCCCTGACCTCCCGGAGGGAATCACAGTGGCATACACGGTTCCCAAAAAGGTACTTCCAGTAGCTGCTTCGCCGAGAAGTGACTGTCCCGTGAGAACCATCTTCCTTCACCTCCATCCTATTTTGGAATGCCAGTGCAGCATTTTCCTGTCTTAGCTGTTTTACACAGTGGGCACTGAGACGTGAGCAAGGGAAGGGTGCTCAGTGTGAATATGCAAGTACGCGCCCTTTGACCAAGTGCGGGGAGATGGTTTTCTTTACTCGTCAGTGGATCACGCGTGAGAACTGGCAGGCAGGGCTAGCTCCCATCTCACGTTTTACTCCCAAATGCTTGAAGCTGCCCCTCGCTCGGGCCGAAACCTCCACAGGAACTCGATCCACGTCTCCCACACGAGTGGGAGAAACCCAGTTACTTCAGCCCTCACTACTGCCTTCCGTGGGGACTGGGGCCAGGACTGAACCCAGGCACTCCACTGCAGGCATGCTAACCACTAGGCCACTCCTCACGAGAGTTGATTTTAATTAAGTGACGGGGGCTGTTTATAGTGATGGCCTAGCCACAGTACCATCTAAAGAATACCTTAGTGGAGGTGTCAAGATATTGGAATTCCCGCCTATATGTGCCAGCTGGCAAGGAAAGGACTTCTGACACTTAGAAATGGGTGTTTGAGAATTTACCTCAAACAGTATGATTAAGGCCTACGGATCATATATTCCTAAGAACTAAGTTTTATATGGTTATTTTGTTAAACTATATTTTCCCTTACTTGTTGTTAGCAAGAAGATTCTGCACCTGCAGTAACAGTGGAAGATTCTGGTGAAAGCCTGGAAGAACTTATGGCCAAGATGAAGAATATATAGACAATGGGCTGGTATCTGGTATTTAAGTTTAGTCCCTTGATATTAAAGATATTTTCCCCTTAATCTAATAAAAATTAGGGCAACATCAGCCGATGTATATAATCTTCACTGACTTGTTATACTCAACTGAAAATACTATTCTCAGCCCCCACCTGCAGCTGAGTAACTTGCAGTAGGTGTGTGGTTATGGTAAGAAGCTCCCAAGGCCTAGTGCAGGCAGCTGCTGATGGGAAGCAGCCCCGTCGGAGCCAGCGACCCTGCGTATCCCAGTCCTGCGGCAGGACAGTCACCTGGACAGGCACAGGGAGGCCAAGGCTTCCTGCAAGAAAATGGTGACCACTAACTTGACCCACAGTGGATTTGAAAGTTAACCTATAAACACCCTCTCCAAGGCGGTCGGTGAAATACAGTCCCAGAAAAGCCTGTGCGTCTTTACCCGGAGCAAACTACTCCCTGGGTGTCAAAGGCACACACCTCTTCCTAAAAAATATTGGACGTATTTCTTAAATTACAATGCAGAATAACAATCTTTGTATAAACCAGAGCAGGGAAAAGAACACGGAATGCAATTTTATTTTAAATAGCAAAGTAGTTATTACATGTTTCACCTTTATAATACATGTTGTAATTTTACAATTGATTTTATGTATAAATACATAAATGGAATGAAATATCCAAAGTGTGGTAATACTCAGATTAGTCCTCCACTTTCATATTGAAAAATATTGAGTTTGAGGTCAGCGAGGCGGATTTCGGCCACTTGAGGAGGGTGCAAGTGCTCAAGCTGCTGCTTGCTGACTGTGGGTTAGCCGGCTGCGGCACCGCCTGGGCCGCCTGCACCACCTGGGCCACCCGCACCGCCTGGGCTGCCCGCACCGCCCTGGGCAGCAGCACGCGGAGCACAGGAAGCCGGGGCTGAGCTGCTGAAGGACAGGTCATTCAGCAAGGGCTGCGATCCGCTGAGGATGAGTGAGAGCTTCCTAAACACGAACCCTCTGAGGTAGAGATGGGGCCCAGCGCTGCTGGGACGCAGGGTTGCAGGGCCACCGGGCGTGAGGCAGGAAGAGGCCATGGCGTGTCCTCGGCCCACTGCGCTCAGGACCCCTCAGTGCTGGGCAGCTCCAGTGTGCCTCCTGGGCTCTCGGCAGGGAAGCTCATTTCTTTAAACAACGAACTGGCAAACCACTCCAGCTTAACCAACCACGAGTCCAACACAACTTTGTACAAAATATTCTTGAGTTTTGTTTCGAATTGCGCTTCAAGTGTTTCCCTTCTCCTGGGGACGCTGGCACGAGGCTGCTGTACGTTTCCCTTCTCGGGACGCTGGCACGAGGCTGCTGTACGTTTCCCTTCTCGGGGACACTGGCACGAGGCTGCCATGCCAGCTGCTAGCGCCGACCCTGCTGGAGGGAGCCCTGAGCGGAATGGGCCGTTCTGACGCTCAGCGTGTCCCCACCTGCCGAGTGTCGCGAAGGAGCCTTCCCAGCCAGCAGCGATGGCTCCGCTTCCTTGATCTCCATGGCCCGTTTGTACAGCTCAGCAGCTTTCTCAAAGTCCCCTTCTTCATAGCTTTGAAAGGGGAACAGCTTGGATGACACCACGACCCCTAACAACTCCCAGTGCCTCCGGGACAGAGTGCAGACTACGGCTCGCTGTCCCCACTCCCCCTGCGCTCAAGGGACAGAACCTGTCTGTACGGCATCACACTGCAGTGTCACACACCATGATGGTGGCAAGTGACAAATCTAATGCCCCCTTCCCCATGCGCTGGGCCAGGCCCCTCTGCAGTCACACCATGCAATGCTCCCTCACCTCTCAGCTCCCTTACCACCCTGGAATCAGCCTGGCAGAACAGCAGCAAGCAAGCACACCAAACCACCCCTTCCCTCCAGGAAACGCGGGCCCAGCACGAAGGATTTTGTGACATGAATCCAAGATCCTTTTTAACGCATTAGGCTGCAACAGGCAAGGGCAGAAACTCCTACCTCAGCACAGCCAAGTTCTTCAGTGTTTCTGCGACTCGGGGATGCCTCCGACCCAAGCTATCCTCGTAGATCTTTAACGCTCTTTCATACAGTGGCAAAGCTTCGTTGTGTCTTTTCTAAGAAAAGGAAATATTCACTTACACACAGTGTCTAAAACTACTGGAATATTCTGTACTAAGCTGACTGACCTACACTGGCAAGCACAGTTAGAACGTGAGTAGCCTCCTAAAAGATGAATAAACAAACATGAATAAACACATTAATTTATGAATAATCAAAATGAGAAGCAACATAATATAAAGCCAGACAGCTGCGTTGTGGGTCTCGCCTGGCAACTATTTGAAATAAGCACAAATCTGTTGGTGTGAGCTCAATGGGCACCACGCACCTCTCAGTTCATGAGTTGGCAAATGCCACAAACGTAAACAGGAGAGAGAGATGGAGGAGTCTGGGATTTCAAACAATTAAGTCTATCTTCTGGACGCCCACAAAGGGACAGGGCCGTTTTACAACTCTTAACTCGGGTACTGGCTCAAATATTCAAGGAGGCATTACTAGGTAATCACTTTAAACCCGATGTATTTGTACTGTGCCAAATCAACGCAGGTTTATAATTTATACCTTAAAATCCCTCACGTGCAGAGTAAGCTGCGGGTACTCACCATCTGGCTGTGAAGGACTGCTAAATTCACCAAGGCGGTGGCCACACTAGGGTGCTTTGGCCCGAAGGATTTCTGTCGAATTTCAACAGCCAATTCATACAAAGGCACAGCTTTGTCAAGTTTTCCCTAAAAAAACAAAAGCCAAAAGTAGAATCTAACAGAAATATAAGGTATTCAGCTTTGATAAGAGCTTTTCAAATAAATAAAATTTCATATTAAATAATTCTGAAGAAAAACATCTCAGAAGCATTTTCTCCAGGACAGATGGACAAGCCGATAACTAAAAACCTACTGTAACATGTAGGTGAGGTGACACTGAATCTACAAACATTCTTTGATATCAGAATGCTGATATATGCATTTGTATTTGCAATGTATTTTTTTTAAAGATTTATTTTATTTTTATTGGAAAGGCGGATATACAGAGAGGAGAGACAGAGAGGAAGATCTTCTGTCCGATGATTCACTCCCCAAGTGAGTGCAATGGCCCATGCTATGCCAATCCGAAGCCAGGAGCCTCTTCCGGGTCTCCCACGCCGGTGCAGGTTCCCAAAGCTTTGGGCCGTCCTCGACTGCTTTCCCGGGCCACAGGCAGGGAGCTGGATGGGAAGAGGGGCCGCCGGGATTAGAACCGGCGCCCATATGGGATCCCGGGCGTGCAAGGTGAGGACCTTAACCACTGCACCAGGCCCTGCAATGTATTTTTAACACAACCAAACCAGTAACCTCCTTAAGGTAATGATTTTAAATGTTCTACTCAGCTATTTGTTAAAACTTGCATCATTACAATCTGCATCTAAAAGGATCTGTGTTGGGAGACACTTTGGGCAGTGAGTGTGGCTCGGCAGGTTTATTACAGCGCCGCGTGAGCGTGGCTCACCTACCATTCTCTTATACAGGACGGCGAGGTGCTTCACAGTGTAGGCCAGGCTAGGGTGGTCGGGCGCCAGCGCCCGCCTGCGGATGCCCAGCGCCCTCTCGTACAGCTCCTCCGCTTTCTCGTACTGCTGCTTCTCATTGCACAGGGCCGCCAGGTTGTTCAGGGATTGGGCACAGTCGGGGTGCTCGGGCCCCAGAACTCGCTCCCGCATCTCTAAGGACCGCTTCAGAAACTGCTCAGCTGTTCTTGGAACAAAACCCCACACCAGTTTAAACAACTGTTCCCTGGAGGTTAGATTCCAAGGTTTAGCTAGGTAGAAAATGGTTAAAATGAAGAATTCAGGCTCGCAGTCCGCTGCCCCCACCCCGCCCAGGCCTTCCTGCTGCTCGCAGGGAGAACACAGGACCACAGCTTCCCTTCTCCACTTCTCCTAAGGGACAAATTCCTGTTTTCCAAAACAAGCTTTTTAAATGTTAAGCATTATTAAACGTAAGCCAATAGACAACTTGGTCTCTATTCTTTTCCCTTTAGAGTTAGTACTGATTTTCAATAAAAGCATATTTTGTGAGGTAAGCATATGTCATCTTTTCTGACACCTGACATTTCAAATGTTGTACTTCCGTGACATGCTGATTAGGAAAGCGCTGGAGGCCACAGGTGCAGCTGCTCGCTCTGCTCTCCCACCGCGGGATGACAAAGCAGGAATAGCTCTGCCAGACGCCGGCTCGGTGGCCTTGACTTGGCAGCCTCTGGCACCACGGGTCAATATTTTTATCTTTACTTTAAATGACCTAGATAAACACTGTTGATAATTTGGATCTTACATGTCCTAGTCAAATGATAAGACTGGCAACCATCTACACTCCTTCATCTTCACTAACGCCAGGTGTCGTCCCAAGTACAATACCTACAGACTTGTTCTTCACAAGCAGAAACCATAGTAGGGAGGTTACAAAATAACTTTTTAGTTCAGAGCAATATAAAGGAAATTTAAAAAATTCTACGATCCATCATGCATGAGATTTACCCCCTCCCTGCTTTTTTTCTTTTACAACTTTTCCTGCTTTGGGCTTGATGGAAACAGACCAGTGTTGGATCAGTAGACACTAATCTCGCTGTGCCAGCACGTACTCACTCGAGGTTATTCTGAAGATAATAGAGAACACCCAGCTCGTTGAGGGTCCGAGCATTGTCCGGGGTGTCCTTTCCTAGCGTGAGCTCTTCCAGCTGCAGGGCCCGCCTGCGCAGAAGGGCGAATCCATACTGCAGCAAACACAAGAAGGGAACATCTGAGTAGGTGCCATCCTTGACCCTCAAACACTACACTGCGGTTCCCAAAATCCCTTTCTTCTTGGGCTGGTGCAATGACTCAGCGGCTAAATTTTTGCCTTGCATGTGGCAGAATCCCACATGGACATCAGTTCGTGTCCCAGCTTCTCCACTTCCCATCCAGCTCCCTGCTTGTGGCCTGGGAAAGTAGTAGAGGACAGCTCAAAGTCTTGGGACCATGCACCTGTGTGGGAGACCCAGAGGAAACTCCTGGCTTCAGGTCAGCTCAGCTCTGGCCTTTGCAGCCACTTGGGGAGTGAACCAGCAAACTGAAGATCTTTCTCTTTGTCTTGCCTTCTCTCTGTAAATTTGATCTGCCTTTCCAATAAAAACATATTGATAAAAAAATCCTTTCTCCTTTAATTGTAGATGACAAGAGTCACAATGAATTTTTATTAATACAAATACTGCTAAATAGCATGACTTTCTACAATTTGTTAAAAACTATTTCATTCTGAGGTAGTTCAGCAAAGTTTGTCTCCACAATGCTTCAAAGTGGATTAGGACAAACTGAACTTGTTGTAATACTATTCACAGAGGTGTTATAGATAAAACCCGGTGAAGCGGAGCTTTCCTGGAAGTCACTTCAGAATCTGAAGCTCCCAGCCCAGGAGGGTTAGACAGTCAGGAGGCTCACACGTGCTCTTTCTCCCCTGGTCGGAGCCTGGGCAGGAGCTGGTGCCGAAGGACAGTGGCTTAAGCCACCGCCTGTGACGCCAGCATCCCGTAGCAGATGCCATCTGTGGCATGAACCAGTGGCTGGAAGATCTGTGTATCTCTTGCACTC